TGCACCTATTCCCTTTCCTCCAACCTTCTCCCAGGCACTTGTTACTCCTACATAGCCTAAATGATACCTATCATTCAACTATGTAAAATTTGCAATCATTTACATACTTGGAATGCTGTTTTTTCCCAGTAAGTTACATACGTTTTTATTCATTTCCTCAGCTATAGAGAGTAAAAACTTCAAATTTTGAGTTTCACCAGACTTTTTGTTCTTTTGTCCCTGTGTGTCATAGATTTCTGTAACACTGGAGATTTATCATCATGATGAGATCCATTTTGATGCATTATACATTCCTGTGGAATAATATCAATTCCTTTTTTTTCTTTTTGGTGGAGTGATGGTTGTACTTGTGATGAATATTCTCCATTTTGAAATATCAAATCAAATGCGTTTGATCAGGTCATTCTGATGAATAGGACCAATTATTACTACAAGTAATGTAATTTGACTGAGTAATAGCACGCATGAATGATGACCCAATCTCCCATACCCTGAGCAGACTCAATTGGTGTTAGTCGAAGTCATAGGCAGGAAGCTAACTAGAAGTATATAATCTGTACCCAACTTCACATAGCCAGTGAAATTCATCAAATCTTTATAACCAGTGTCTTTGAGATTGATGTACAGCCCTTGACAGTTTAAGAGCTAGGTGGTTGTTCAATCTTTATCACAATATTATTGACTTGTTGTGGCGACCTCTTAGGACGCGGATTGGAACCCAATTTACAAAATCATAAAAAGATATATAAGCTGTAAGATACAATTTTTAATTTCAATTTATAGTATTTAAAATCAAACGTCATGCAACAGTGCTGCTGCAAGGTACTCGGAAGTTTCAGATGTACTATCATGCTAAGTAACCTCGTTGATTAATCAGGCTTGAACCTATGAAAAGTTGATCTTGTCTTCTTTTGCGCGTCCTACACGGTATAGACTTTTATGGTTGTCCGTGAAAATTCAAAGACTTTGTCTTAGGAAGATTCTGTGTCCTCTCAACGAAGACTTAATGAAGTTGACTTATCCCCAAGCCGGCTGCCTATTTTTTTTTTGTTTCCCTCAGATGTAAAAGTAACCATGCTAATGAATTTCTTTATCACTACTAATCTCCTGATGCTAATACCAATTTCTGCCTCTACAAAATCCAAATAATCCCATCTAATCTCTCCATTTATGGCTTTTTTTATAGTCGCTGTTTATTTATCATTTTTGCTTGCAACAACCTTTGAAGCTGCTAAAGCTCAGCCTGATGCAAATATGATAGGATTGGGTGCTACACTTTATCCTAGCAGTCAACCTTGGTACTCACCTTCCAAAAGGTTTGCATTTGGATTTTTTCCAGAAGGGAGTGGCTTTAGAGTAGGAATTCGGATAGTTGGAAGTGCCAATAATGTCACCGTGTGGACTGCCCAAAGGGATGATCCAGCTGTGTCGTCGAGCTCAAGTCTTGGTTTCATCGATGGAAAGCTTCAGTTGAAATATGAGCAAGGTCAGCTTCACACAATTGCTGATCCTTCAAAACCTGCGAGCTATGCTTCCATGCTTGACTCTGGAAATTTTGTGCTCTATGATCAATATAAAAGTATTATATGGGAGAGCTTCATATTTCCAACTGATACCATATTAGGCGGCCAGGCACTTGACCCTGGAAAAGAGTTGATCTCTAGTTTGTCTCCAATCGACCACCCGTCAGGTCGATTTCATCTGAAAATGCAGTATGATGGAAATCTTGTTGCATATCCTGCCGACTCCGCAGATGACTCGGTAGATTCCTACTGGAACACGGGGACTATGAATAACCCCAAGACTAAGCTGATTCTTACTAATGTCACCGGCAAATTATTACTGGCTGATGCTACTGGTACCTCAGTGATACAACCTGTGGCATCACCACTTTCAAGGGTAAACGGAAGTCTTTACCGTGCAACACTTGGTTATGATGGAAATTTTAGATTGTTTTCTCATAGCTTTGATGCAGAGGGAAAATCTAATATGTCGACAGAGTGGGAAGCAATTGCTGATCTCTGTGACGTGAAAGGTTTCTGTGGCTATAACAGTTATTGCAGTAGGATTGATGGCGAACCCCAGTGCTTCTGTATGCCAGGTTACAGTTTCACAGACCTCAACGAGACAAGTGGTGGCTGTGAGAGGAACTTCACTGGGAGCAAGTGCATTTTAGGCAAGGAAGATGCCTCCCATATTAACATGACTTCTCTGAATGTAGGGTGTGATGATCGGCCTTATTTTCTAGCGCCCATGCGCGAGAAGGAAGATTGCAATCATTCCTGCTTGGAGGACTGTGATTGTGATGCAGCTATATATTCTGAACCCACTTGCTCTAAATACAAGCTTCCACTCAAGTATCTCAAGAATACAACTGGTACCGTACCATCTATTGCTTTCTTCAAGCTGTCTATTGACATTAGCAGAAGTCTGAACGGTGATACTCAGAAACAGCCGTGGTCAACTATCCTTGCTCTAAGTCTGAGCTTCGTAACATATTCCTGCATCATCCTTGCAGTCTTCACTATCTTCATCTTTAAGTTCCGTATCTTGAAGTACAGAAAACTACTTTTTGAGACCAGAACAACTGGCTTAATGAAGGGATTCACTCTTCGAACATACACTTACAATGAGCTAAAGAAGGCTACCAAGGGGTTCAACCAGGAATTAGGTAGAGGCGGATTTGGAGCAGTTCACAAAGGCACTTTTGACAAAGGCAGAAGCTTTGTGGCGGTGAAAAGATTAGAGAAGGTGGTCGAAGAGGGTGAAAGAGAGTTCCGAGCTGAAATGAGGGTAATTGGCAGAACTCGACACAGGAATTTGGTCCGCTTGCTTGGATACTGTATTGAGGGATCGAAGAGGCTTTTGGTTTACGAATATATGAGCAATGGTTCCCTCGCTGATCTTCTCTTCAAAGGACAATGGCGTCCGAATTGGGATGATAGAGTTCGGATTGCACTAGACGTTGCCAGAGGCATACTCTATCTCCACGAGGAGTGCGAGTCTGCAATAATTCATTGTGACATAAAGCCTCAGAACATCTTACTTGACGAATCTTGGAGGGCAAAAATCTCAGATTTTGGTATAGCTAAATTACTAATGCCGGAACAAACGAGAACAAACACTCATGCCAGGGGGACAAGAGGGTATATCGCACCAGAATGGTTCAAAAACGTTCCCATATCCGTGAAGGTGGACATTTACAGCTTTGGAATAGTTCTACTGGAAATTGTTTGCTGCAGAAAGAACTTGGCATACAACCTGTCAAGGCCGGAAGAAACCCTGCTGCCTGCCTGGGCTTATAAGTGCTTTGAGGCCAACGAGCTGGGCAAACTCATCAGAGGCGAAGAGGTAGACAGGAGGACCTTTGAGAGAATGGTTACAGTTGCATTATGGTGTATTCAGGATGAACCGGCTCTTCGATTTCCAATGAAGACGGTGATGATGATGCTGGAGGGGATCATTGATGTACCTATTCCACCATGTCCATCGGATGAATTCAGCGTCCATTACTAAAATTGTTGCTATCATTTCTCATTTGGTGCATCTTTCCAATAATACATAAATGCACTAGCACTAGATCAGATGCTGCAGCAACTTCTTCCTGATATAAAGATCTTTCTGTTTGAAAAGAAGAATGTTGATCAATAGTCAAATAATCCTTTTCAGGGTTCTGTGTATCAAATGCTTCTCTAATCGTACACATAAGATTTCAAATTTCAAGTTACTACTGCTCATCTCTCCCTTATTCCAAATTTGCATCATTGCACTCAAACTTTTCAGATAAGAAGAATATGAACAAAAACAAATGCAGCCACGAAAGAAAATTCGTCCACCTTCATATACATTTAAGCAAGAATGACAAACATAATGTAGCAATACATATAGAAAAGTGTAAGACTGGGGAAGCTAAAGTAGTTGAGCCATGAAACAGTTGTTTCACCATCTATGGCGAAAGCCAAGCAGGACTCCTCAAGAAATAGTACAAATATCTAGTATACTTTTCATCCCTAAAGAGAGGTAATAGTAGTTTTATAAACCCTTATGTGTATACTAACACAGAAAATATGCATATTTACTAGTAGACTTGGCTGTGCACTTTTTGATTTTTCTTTTATGCTGTGCAGTTATCTGTTCATAGCACCACCCACAGCAACCATCAATTACAAGTAAAAATGTATTAATAATTGATTAAGAAATATTTGTGTGATTTAATTATCTTCAAGTTTTTATCATCAGTTAATACATTTTCCCCAAGTGTTAGACATTGTTAATAATTCAATTTTCAGATAACTTCATGACCACAAAAACAACTCAATCAAAAAATAGTGTCTTTTATCACCGGTTAATGATAACCTTTGATTGCTGATTGCCTGGTACTAATTCTTGGATTTATCTCTTGCTGGAAGTACCAAATCTATTCATTAGTAAAATAGTTGATAATTAAAAAAAATTAATATAGCACCAAATAATTTAACCCTAAAGAAGACAAAAAAAAATCTTTTTGTAGTTTGAAACCATTTTAAATAGATTTCCCTTTGTGTACTTTAAAACAAAATTTGCCTATAATTGCGATTGCTTTATTTTGTCTCATCATATTTACATCTTCATACTTTTGACTTTGTTTTTAACTTTAGATTAATATACTTTTTATTTTCTCATGGAGAGAAACTATGTTCTTTTTTTTAAAATGAATATTCTAATAGTATATTTTGAATTGGGTTTAAAATGTTACAAAATTTTGAAAATAAGTGAATCAAGTGATATTTTTCAAATTTCACCGGTGTTGGGTGATATTATTAAAAATCTCAGAGGAGGTTTTCCAAATTATCCCTAATTATTTATTTATTTATTCATTTATTTATTGTGAAAGGATTACCTTCTCAATTATTCGCAAGAATTTAACTTAATGAGCTATCAACTTTTGGACAAAAAAAAAAAAAAATCTCTTTTGGACCCAAAAAAAGAAAAAAAAATCTCTTTTGGACCTCTATACAGCAGCAGCAGACAGCAAGGCATTGGTAAACCCGCAGAAAATGGCTCCAAATAAGAAATCCAAACCCAAACTCAACTCAGCCGAGTCAACTCAGTCTCCATCCACTTCTCAATCCAAATTCCCCGCCTGCCTCCGCTCCGTTCCTCCTTCCTCCGTCGCCATCACCATCCACGCCAAGCCCGGTTCCAAGCTCGCCACCATCACTGGTCCTTCTCTTTCCCTGCTTTCTTATATACTTTTCAATTTAAATTTAAACTCTGATCATATTATAAGCTGTATGAATATAATAATTCTATTTTCTTGCAAAAAATGGAAGAACAGATATTAATGATGAAGCATTAGGAGTCCAAATTGATGCCCCTGCCAAAGACGGCGAAGCTAATGCTGCACTTCTTGATTACATCAGCTCTGTAAGTTCTTCATTCTTCATTTTTTCAATTATATATTAGTTGGATTTTCTTTTTACTAATATCATTTATAATTTAAAAATTTTTAATTTGAAGTCTGATACTAGTTTGGAACTTAGCTTGGATCAAGTTGGATATATGAAGGGTTTTATCATTAATTAGAGTTTTGTGAATTGTATTTTTATTTTTTCAATTGATTTGAGAATTTTTATTTACTTCTATTGTATGGCCTGGATAAGAAGGAACTTTTGGCCTAAACTCTGGAGGATTATTGCTAATGAAGTTGCTAATGAAGTTGATTTAAGTATCTGTGTAGGAAATTTGTTGATGCGATGTACATCTTATGATTATATGTTTCTGAAGTTGGTAAATGCGAAAAATAAGTCGGAAAATGATGAATTGAATGCAGAGTGTTTTAACTGATTCTAACAAATGTACGAGGTTAAACAGCAGTGCATAACGTTAAACTAGCTTGGTTTTTGTTGCTAGAATGCATTTATGTATCCTGAGGATTGGACGAATTTAGGTTGATGTTAATTTTCAGATGGCTGCATTGAAGAAAAAAGATAGATTTGGTAGATTCAAAGGACTGGATACATTCTGGTAGGCGATATTAAGATTTGATTTTCCTTCCTCAACAGGTGATAGGGGTCAAAAGAAGACAAGTTTCTATAGGCTCTGGTTTGAAATCACGGGACAAGGTTGTGGTTGTAGAGGAAGTAACTTTACAGGGTGTGTTTGATGCGCTTGACAAAGTATTAAAGGGCCAATAAAAGGTAGTTTGTTTCAGCTCTTTCACCATGACAATACGATGAATAAGCAATGTGCCTATGAGGCTTTCTAATTATGTTGGTATTATGAGGTATCTGATGACAGTTTCTGGTTTGTGGCGGTAGCAGGTCTTTGAAAGTATGGTGGAATCATTTCCTTACAATGGGGTTATCTCATACAATTTTTTAATTGATATTTCTGTGTACTTCTTCCATCTTCAAGAGTTGAGTATGGTGTACTATCTTGTATTTCAGCTTTCTCGTGGAAGCTACATATCTAGTTTGTTTTTGTACTTCTTTCTGCCAATGATAAATGAGCACTAGATGCTTGGGGATTTTTAGTGGTAGGATTCTTGTATTTATGTGATTGTGATATTGAAATCCAGTTTTACACAATTGCATATTAAGATGTATGGCCAGCATATCTTTCTATTTAACATATCTTTCTGTAGGATCAGAGTTTTATATTTCCATGCAGTCAAGGATTAGTAATTGGCTGAAGGTGTTGTCAGAGCTATTTTGCTTGAGTTTGATATTGGAGTTCATTTCTGCTTTGATGCATGGTATGTCATCATAGTGTGTATGCCCAACATATGTTTCAAATTTTAACACATATTCTGTCAGTAAGAGTTTGGTATCAATAAAATCAAGGATTAGTAAGTGGCTGGCGATACTGCCATGAATTTGTCCTCCTTGAGTTATTACTTTGACTCTTCTGCCTTCCACTAGTTGCTGATGGTTGCACTTCTAAGATGTCATATGCTTGCCACCTGTCACCCTTCTCTCGATCAAGTATTGATTGGAATTGAGACTAACACTATTCTTTCTCATCCAATCCTCGTTTCCTTTCAATCTTATTATCTTGCAGAGTGTAATTTTCTAGGGCAGTATTGTCATAATGAAAATGTACATTTGACTAGGAATCACACCTATACAAGAATTATCGGTTTAGTTGAAAGAATATATTGGAAGCCATTTCTGTTAGAACTTGGTAGAGTTATCAATGTTGGTTACATCGTGGACATATTTATATTATTAGCTAGGGCAAACTGTTAAAACCAGCAGACCAATCGGCAAAGAGTTGGGCTGCTTGCCTTGAAAAATTGTTGAACACCATAAGTGATTTATAATTCACAATTGAGAAGAAAAGGGAAAAAAAGAAGATTTTTTTTTTTGTTTTTTTTGGGGGGGGGGGGGGGTTGAAGGAGAATGCAGATAATGGTACAGGGGATTAAAGACTTTCTATTGTTTTCTTAGATGGAAAATAGGCCGTGATAGTTGATCGTTAGTCTTGTGGTGTAAACTGCTAATGATATGAACTCGGAGGTAAAGTGTAAGTTATAGGGTGTTTAAATGTTTGATTTGTAAACTTTGATCATGGTTTATGTTCTTGCAGAACCATCAAAATCTACATATTACAATTGAATTGTAACGTTAATCATCCCTATATATCGGACTCTTTGAAAAGGGATGGGAATATGCAGCTAATATCCCAGTACATTGATATGCTTGCAAATTGAATATAGTTACATGCAGGAAAACTTTAAATGTTTTAGTAGAAATCTAAGTTCAGACTGTGAATTATGAGGAATATTTTAAAAGAGGTATTGTAAAGCAATTCTTTTATTGCTGCATCACATTTATCTAATACTGGATTACATTTGACACTAGTTGAACAAAGCATAACAAAAGAAAGAAACTGTCGTGCTAGGTAGAACTGAGAAAAGAAGTAGGATTTGGTGGTATTGGGATATCTACTGTCCCTTCTAGCATTAGCAGAACTTTCTTCATTGTGGGACGAAGTGAGGGCTCTCCTTGGATGCACCAGATAGCTATCTTGATCATTCTTTCCAGTTGTCTCATGTTAACAAGCTCATCATCAGCAAACAATTTATGCAACTCTTGAGCCTCAAAGCAATCATAAGCATATTCTTCAAGAATAGCTTGATCCTCGGGGAAGCTCCAATCAATGTTCTTTCGGCGACATATGATCTCGAGCAGCACAATCCCATAGCTGTACACATCTGCTTTAACTGTGACTGGCAATTTTTTATGCCATTCTGGTGCAACATAGCCTTTTGTCCCTCTGATTGCAGTAAAGGTTTTGGTCTGATCATGCTTTAAGAGTTTTGCTAGGCCAAAATCTGAGATTTTTGCACATCTGTGTTCATCCATGAGGATATTTTGAGGTTTGATGTCACAATGGATGATTTGTGTCTCACACTCTTCATGTAAGTAGAGAATACCTCTTGCAATGTCACAAGCAATTTTAATCCCTTCATCCCAGTTGGGCTGGTTCTCTTTGGCATAAAGGACATCCGCCAATGATCCGCTGCTCATGTATTCATACACTAGAAGCTTCTTAGGTCCATCAGCACAGTAACCAAGTAACCGGACAAGATTACGATGATGTGTTTTTCCAATCACTGCCATCTCATTATGGAACTCCCTTTCTGCTTCCCCTTCAGCTAATATTTTTTCCAGTCTTTTCACGGCGACTGTCTTCTGGAAATCCATCAGCATACCTTTGTAAACAGTTCCAAATGCTCCTTGTCCCAGCTCTTCTTTGAAGTCATTTGTTGCCCGCTCTAGTTCTGCATAGGTGAATGCCCGCGGGGCAACATCGCCGATTGGTTCAGCATTCTTGTATCTGGACATGTTTTTGTGAGCACCTAATTGATGTATATGAATAAGAACCCCAGAAATTACAAGTATCACCAGGGCAAAAACAAGAAGTGAAATGCTGATGATTAAGATATCCAGACGCAACTTTTTCTTGGGGTGTAATTGGGGATAGCTCGGACCACCTCCAACTGGGGAACCAGGCATGCCCACCTTCACAAGAGCAACTTTTGGATTAGTCAGCACTCTTTTCCCATATTTCAATGGAAGCCTTTGCTTGCTGCATCCACCATCTCCAAATAACGCTGCGCCACAGTTGCAATCGTTTAGACAAGCCTGTTCGCATTCTTGTCTTATGCTTGTCTTGAATGTGTCATATGAAGCATTTTCCCAGACTGTGTTTGGTATTGGCATCATTGTGAATCTGAGGATTTCTTTCGGGGATTGACATCCCTCTTGTGAAAAATTTCTCTGACACCCTGAGCTGAGGTCACCTGGAGAAATAAAATCGAATCCTGGAATGCACTTACATTCGATGTCAGTATCTACATTGCTGCAGAAGGCATTGAGTCCGCATATGCCTTTGGGTTCACATTTATTTGATGTAGTGTTATACCTGACGATCCAGTTGTCTTTGTACTGGAGAGAATATGAATATAGCCGAAAAATACCATCCACATCAATGGTTGCGCGATAGATTGTTTTCTGATCGGGGAATCCTTGAGTGACATTGAATATTATGGTGCCATTGTCCCTCAACAGGTAGAGATATCCATTTGGGTCAAGATTCAGGGTCACATGCGGCCCGCCATTATTAGTGTATGATGAGTAGTAAGCATATGGATCTAAACTCGGTGCATCTGTAGGATATTGCACCAGGGTTCCATCTTGCTGCATAATTAGGCGGAAAGGCCCTGTTGAAGGATCATTTTCTGAAGCACTTGAAAACAGCTGCCCCTGACCTTGCCCGTCATCAGTTATAAGACGCTGAGTGGGTAAAAGGGTGTCAGTTGGATAATCAAAACTCTGCCATATGGTGTTGTTAGCAGAATTGTACAGGACAAAATTTCCTGAATCTAGCATAGAAGCTGAAGCAATCTTGTCTTCAGCAAGATTGACAATGTCTACTTCTTGGCCTGGTGACTGCTGCAGGATTAGCCTTCCATCATTGGTTAGAACCAGTGTAACATTCAGTGGATGAATGGCACTATCCCTATTGGCTGTCCATACTACGGTCTTATCAGGAATTCCTCTGAGGGAATCAGGAATTCCATTGAGGAAAACTCCCACAGCATAGCCATTGCCTATGGGATAGAACCCAAAGGCATAAAGCCCTGAAGGTGACAACCATGATGAGTTCTTGCCAGTGGGTGTAAGAGTAGAACTCGGGCTAATTCGAGCAGCTGCTAAGGAAAATGCAGACAAAAAGAGTAAGAACAAAAGGGCAGCCATGATGTTTGAGAAAAGGATATTTGCTCGTTTTATGTGGACTTTTTTTTCTCTCTCTTTTTCTAATTCTGGTGTTTCCAAATTGGAGGGGATAACAATTTTGAATGTCTAAGCTGCAATTTATAGAAGATTTTTCATTGCAAAAGAAGTATTGAAGTCCTGCTAGACGTAAAACGCGTGGTGAAGAATTTTCATGTTGTTGATAAATATGATTATCTTGATTTCACAGGAATAGTGCTTGACTCCAAGTCATTGCATGACTTGGACTCAGACTTCATCAAAGTTGGCAGTGGTGGAAATTTTGCGTGGATTGGCTTTCCCACGTGAAAGAATTTTGCAATAGGCAGATGCCTGTTGGCATTTGGGGTAAATATAACTTTGTAGAATTCAATCGTGCTTGATATTATTTGTGTAGTTTTCAGCTGTTTGGGCCGGATATTATAACCCTGTTCTGAACTTGGAATGAGCAGATCAAAATGATGAGCTTTAAAGCAGTTGCGAGACTGAGATGTGAAGTGCTTTATGCCTAAACTTTAATACGTCCTGATTATTCTTGCCCCCTAAGGTATGCTTACTTCTTTATCAATTTTATTCCCAAATCTCAATTCTGGTTCCTTCAGCAACTGTATTCCTCCTTTAGTCCAGGCTCACCATTTCCAAGTTGGATTGCTTTTTAACTCTGGATATGATATGGGTGATTAATAATCATTGACATAAGCAACCGTTTTTAGAGAGGTAAAATCAGTATGCTAATTTAGAGAGGTAAAATCAGTATGCTAATTTAGATGTGAAATCAAATTATTTCTAATCAAATTATCGTTTACCCGAAAATTGACTCCAAAAAAATTGTGTAAATTCATTATTCATGCCAAAAAACTGGAGGTAAATGTACTGTATTCTGGTCTTAGGTCCTTCAAAATACTTTTCCAATCAAGAGTGATTCACTCTGTAGAATTATAGAATAGTGAGGAGTCTCGGGACCCCAAATGCAATTTCCTGCCAGTTGGCAAGAAGGAAAGTTCGGTGCCTTGTGAATTACGGTGGACCACTTGGAATGTCATCAAGTATAGGTTAAATTACATATAACCCCTTTGTGGTTTTGCATAATGTTAGATGGTCCCTTTAAAGTTTCAAAATAGCCATATGATTCCTCTATAACTTTATGTAAAGTGAAAAATTGATAGAATGCACAATTAGTTACGGCAATTATTTGAGAGCGCTCCAAAAGTGCTGTATCATAACATCTACTTAATTTCTTTATAATTTGCATTAATATCCACTTTACCCGTTGTAATTTTTGCATTTATCCATGTAATCCTTATGTGGTTTTATATAAGGTGATTAAGTTGTTGTTTGATTTAGCAATTAACTAAAGACATTGTTGATATTTCAACTAACAACATTAGTAGGTTATTTTTCGTCAAATGTCGAACGTACATGAAACAATAGGGGGTGAAATGAATATTTTGAAACATGAAGGAGGGTCATGTGGTAATAGATGAAACCACAAAAGAGTTATTTGTAATTTATCCTTAAGTTTAATGAAACGGTATCAATTCCAGTTATATAGTTTTGTTTTGTTCCTTTTCTTTAATCTGCAATGATGTGAGTAGAATTCCTTATAAAGCCAACCAAAAAGACTTTAGATGAAAATCAAGTCACAAATCTGAAACTTGGCTTAGTCAGCAAAGTTGCTAAGGTAATTATTGTCAGTTTTACTGAGAGTTTATTTTCTTGGTCTTGGCATAAGTTTGTCCTCGTTCATACAATTATAACATTCTCTATAATCGAAATCTTTCTTAATATCGTGTGCAATACTCATGGGAGTCTTATTATAGATCAAAGGTATAAAGATCCCTCTTATTAACTTTAGAGGACAATTGACAATACTAACTCATAATCGCAAAACTTGACTTTGTAATCTTACTCCTAAGGACTTGATTTTGATTAGTATCCCAATGAAATAGCTTATTAATATTTGCACTCATTTACCCCTCTTGCGCGCTCGAATTTACTCACTAAAAATATAGCATCCAAGAAATGCTAGAAACTAATTAAAGAGTGCAAATATCGCTTTCCTCCAGAAAACATATCCAACACCTGAACTTGGAATGGTGATTGTAATTCCAAAAAAAATTTCCAAAAATTTTCTGACTGATTGCTGCATTATTATTATTTCTCTATCAGACTTGGAATATTTTTCTCCATGGAACTAAAATTCAATTGAAATAATTATAGTTGTTCAAAAAAATTCCATGTCTCATTGCTACATTGCCTTGCTGCTAGAAACCACAGGCGAATGGTCCTGACCTCGACAGCCATTTTCATCAGATATCATGTGCTGAGAAGTGGCTGCTGACTCTAGTCTTCGGAACTCGTGTGAGAAAAATTGGCAGTTTCAATTTTTTTTTTTTTTTAAAGATTGTATTCTTCTGCCAAATAAAGAGGGTAGATTACAAATTTCAATGTCAAGCAAAATTTTAAGTATTTACAAATAATCCAATTTCATATTTTTTTTTAACAAAATATATGCGAAACCTGCTCTTATCTTTATTTCTTTAACAGTAGTTTTTATATCGTATAATTAATCTTTTGTCTGATTCCAATGGTGCTTGCTTGTCAAAACTTTCACAAATAGCCTATCAACAGTATCTCTATATTTCAACTTTTCGCAACCACTTCTCAACCTTCTTAAACTGCATAGATAATTTTAAAAAAAAGTTAAAAAAAGTTGATTTTGACCAAAAAGATGACAATGTTAGCCTTATATGCCACATGAATAAATCTTTATGCTAATTAAATAATTTTTGATGTAATTACTCTTTTTTCTTTGTGAAGATTGAATATTGGATGACCAAAAGAAGGAACAGATAGATGAATCTCGAAGTCGAATAAGAGTAGGAAGAAATTAGAGACATCATAAAAATTATCAAATCTTTAGATTGTTTAGTAATTATGTTGAAATTTGAATGGTATTTTTGTCTGCATGAAAAAGTGAACCAGAATCAGAATCCAAAAGCATCTCAAGACCTACTTTTGATTTTCAGTTTTTCTAGGTACAAAAATTTTAAAATTAGGTTTTCAAAATCAGTTGAAAACACAATAAAAAATTGCTTTTCAAAAATCAAAAAATAGAATTAGGTTTCTAAAATCATGTGAGAATAAGGCCTCTGTTACTTTACCCCCAATATGTGGCCAGTTATTCCTTTTAACTCCTCTTTATTCAAGCCTCCTACAGCAAAGCAAACTCTAACTTTAGAATGTCAACTAGGATGAAGGAAGCACTACATAAATATGAAACAAAGTCAAAAAAAAAAAAAAAAAGGCAGCTAGTGCTAAAACTCTGTTTATTTGAATTAACATCAACTAAAATAATGTAAAACTAAACACCAATTAATGACTTTTAATCTTTCAATTCTTTCCCAAATTCATGGAATCAAATCCAAGCTTCAACTCTTCCCCAATTTTATTGAATATACTTGAGGGCTCTTGCTAAAACTCCAGCAAATTTTTTATTTTATTTTGGCTTTATAGTTTTCCTATTTTAAGTCTCAATCATTAATCATTTATATTGTTAACTTTATTCTAAGTTTGCATTTAGTATTTTAAGGTGTATGATATATTACGCTATTAATTTATTTGGTAGTTCATCATATGACTTGTGTATTTATTGTTAAGTGATTCATGACTGTTGTGTTCGCTTTTAGATAGACATGGCCACATTTCAGATTTAAATCAAGAGCAAAACTTGAACTTGACCAGCAGTTTGTCCAGCTTGAACCGAAACAGACTTTGTGGAAAAGGAATCAAGGCCAGAACTGTGCTGAATGTTTTGATTCAGGCTCAAATTATCCTTATAAAATAAAAACCAAATATCAATGGGGAAATTGAAATATCTTTTCCTTTCTAATTCAATTTCGATGAGAAAACTATGTATTGTTTATTTTAGTTAAAACGTTTAATAAATGTGAGGTATATTTCTTTCATATAATTTGTATCACTTTTTCTTTTTATTGTTAACTAAAAATAAATTAAGTGTCTTAATTTTCTTGAGCATCCAATTTCTTTACTTGTCCTTATTCTAAATTCAGTATTAAATTTTCTTAGTATCAGGTTCTTGATCATAAGTGATTAAGTGTAATTAAGAAAAAGTCAAAACCATAACCATAACTAAAAGGAATCAGAACTAGGCCAAAAAAAAATTCAAAACCGTAACTATAACTATCCGTAAATGGAATCGGCCATTTTTGAATCAAAATGGCGATATTGGAACCATAGCACCCTTACTTTTAGGTATTGATGTATAGGATTTTTTTTTTTTTTTAAGGAAAAAAAACTAGTACTACAAAGAAAAAGCATGGCATGATAGCAATAACTTATTTAAGAGTAGGATTTACAATAATTATACTTTCGATTGTTCTCCCTCTCGAAGCTGAAATCTTGGTTTTATCATTGACAGGACTTACTACTTAAGCTCAACTTTTAATTGATTAGATTAAAGCTCATTTGAGATGATTCAAAAAATTATCAAAACTTAAGTAGGGATGCATGCAAGTCAAGTAGAGTCAATTTCAAATAGTGTCATGCTCGAACTCAAGTTCAATTGTTATTGGTGCTGCTTGAACTTGAACGAGCAAAATAAACGATCTCGACTCCTGGAAGCATCGCACGAGCTCAGGCTTGACTCGAATAGGCTGAAGAATCTGTCTAGCCTTTTTGAGCTCAAGCTACTCGAGCTCGAGCCCCATTTTCTGGCTTGAAAATCTGCTCTCCATTTCCAAAATTTCCACAATCATTCCGCTCCTGCCACTGAAGATCAAACACTCAACCATTTTTCCAGTTTATCATCCTGCATAAAATCCCTCCCAAAACGTTATTTATAACAATAACATGCATCATTAAAGATCCTATCTATACACTAACAAGAATACAAGATATGTAGCAATTAGCAAAGCAAAAGCCTAATAATCACAATAAGTACTTCAGCAGAAGCAGTCAAGAATCCCAAATTCCTTGAATGGCCTGAGGCTCAGTATTTGATCGAATTCCATCTTTCTATCCACTCTCGGATAAGCTGCAACTCGAGATCAGGGCAGCGACAGCGGCGCAATGCAACTCCAGCTCAGGTCAGCAGTGGTAGCGGCAAAGCAAGTGAAGTTGCTGTCAATTTGCTGTTTGAAGAAGATGAAGATGGAGACTTTCAAATTTCGTCTGAAGAAGAAGAAGCTGGAATAAGGGAGGAAAACTTGGGAATTAGGATTGAGAACTTGCGATTTGTGAATTGTAATAGAAAAAAATGTTTCTGAAATTCAATTCAGCTTTTAACTTTTAATATTTTTTAGATTTTATATTGTCAAATGTTTAAATCACTCCAACATAATGTTATGAGAAAGAGGTTTATACCGTAAATTATCTAACTTATAAACCTACAATAGTAAATTCATAACACATAATATATAAATTAAATATAAATACTTGAATAACCTCGTCGAGCTCACGAGCTTGACATATTCAAGATTAAACTCGACTCATTTTCCCATTTGAGTAGCTCGACCTTGACCCGAACTCGATCTACATCGAGTTTCAGTTGTGCTCATAATTGAGTAGGTCATGAGCTACTTAGATCATGTGCAGCCCTAAGCTCAAGCATAATTTTAGACTTGTCGAAATATGAATGTAAACTTGAACATGCAACGTTTAGCCTGATCATAATATACCCCTACTTTTGCTCCCCCCCTTCCCACCAAAACAAAGATTATTGGATGATAATCAATGTTTTAAAAGGGTTGAGATGTTAGGCAAGATAGGTTTTTGTCTCATGAGGTGAGGCAAAGCGAAAGCCCAATGTGTCGTGCATTTGTCCCATAAATGTTTAGAACTCTCATAAATAAAAAACAAAGTATAGGAATATCTATAAATAAATATTGTGCCTTATTTCATTAACCTCTAATTTTTCAATTGTCGAGAGATTTTACCCAAGTCTTTCTATCATCCTTGAATCAAAAGCATAGAAGGAAAATTCCATAGAAGTTCTCATTACAAAACATGCTAATGTAACATGTGACAGTGTTATTTATTACGCCTTATTTCTTATATGACACTTCTCGAGTAGCTTATGAAGATCAAGAATGTCCTCCATGATTGTGGTCAATTGGAAACAGTTTCTTCCACTTTGAAAAAGGATTTGCACAATCCCTTTTGCATCTGAATCCAGTGACACTTTCTTCCATTCAGAGGCCGTAGAGCATCAGTAAGTGCCCGTCTCTGATCAGTAGCCATTGCCTCTGCAACTAAAGCTTTCCTACAACATTATGTCTAGAAAGCCGAAGCACGACTCGTACTTCCTATGTTAATGCAGTTTTCAAATACATTCGAATAAACAAGAGGCGAAGGAGATCAGATCTTCTAAAATAATAATATTCACGTAAAAAAATTCAAGTCCAACATCTCTAGGTGATCCTAGCATCAACCACCAAGATTTTGTCTAAAGAAATTAAGACTTAAATTTAGATATTTGATGTGGTGTCAAAAATACATACCACAATTATGCAACATTTAAATTTAAAATTTAACTTTTGCACAAATATCATGAATTTAATAGTGACGATGTATATACTGTCAGTGTATATAAAATTTACTCACAAAGACAACAACCATAACAACTTCTGAAAAGGGTAAAGTTGTCAATGAACTTTCTTAAATTTTCTCATTTTTTAACTGAAGTTCTTTGCCTCTCTAATTAGTCAGCTATTTAGAATCCCGCATTTAATTTATCATTTTTGCACATAAATGGATTAATGGGGGAGCATTCTCGACCCTAAAAAAGAAAACTTAAAACTCGTAGCCGATGAACCATTAGTCTAATGATTAAACAACTAAGGTTGGTGAGGAGGACTATACCTGTGCTCTAAATTTTAATCTAATCCCTCGTTAACTGCAAGTGCACAAGTCGTGAATTGTAGTATATAAACAAATTAGGATTGATCCCACAGGGAAATCAGCTATATATGAATTACTAAGACTTTTGGCTCTTTCTATTATCTAAACTTACCAGGAATTTTTAACTAGACTAATCAGCTAAATGCTAAAGTAATACAATGCAAGTTAATAACTCGAAATAACTCAACTAAACATTAATGTTCTAGGGTATAGAATCCATCAAAAGTGCCTAAACATGGATGCATTAGCTAACTATCACTCATACTCTTGTCTTGCTAAGGATGCATTTCACTCAAACCATCAGAACTTACTTTCGCCAATGAACCGAACTTAGTCTACACAAGTATTTTCCTACTTTCGTGGTGAAGTCTCAGGCATAAATCAGAATCTAGCGCAAGAAATGTAATAAACATCCACTTAAGTGCACCACTACTTTCGTGTGTTCACTTCTTAGGTTCCATTCATTCATTTTCCATTATTGTCAACTATTTTCATAGACTAACAACAACTAAAATGGCTTGTAAATGAAGATCAAGCATTCACAAGTGCTAAAGTATGA